GTCACACCGCAATCCCTTCTCCTCCATTCTCCTCTCGGGATCTTGGGCACGCACGCACACGCGCCCGGCGTGAGATTCAAGCCACCGGGTCCGAGACGCGAACCGCGGTCGACTACGTGGGAGTCCAGCGACATAGCCATTACGCTAACTGCTGGTTCCCTCATAGTGGTTTTAATCAGCATCTCCCTTATGATGAGGGATGTTGAGTAATTCCTCACATGCTTTTGGCTGTCCGTTTGTCTTCCTTGGAGAGATTTTTGTTCAGCCCATTTTCCCATCTTTTAATTGGGTTAATCTTTTATTTTTATTTTTCATTTTTTAGGGTAAGCTGCTTGAGTTCCCTGTACATTCTGGTTATCAGTCTCTTATCTGATGCATATTTTTCTAAAATATTCTCCCATTCTGAGGGTTGTCAATTTACACGAATTACTGTGTCCTTTGCCATACAGAAACTTCTTAATCTGATATAGTCACACCTCTCTATTTTAGGGATTATTGCCCATGCTTTGGGAGTCTTATTTAAGAAGTCTTTGCCTACCCCAGTGTCTCCCAGAATTTCCCCAGTGTTTTCCACCAATAGTTTTATAGTTTGAGGTCTTAGGTTTAGGTCTTTGATCTGTTTTGAGTTGATTTTTATTAATGGTGAAAGATGTGGATCCAGTTTCATCTTTCTGCAGGTAGATACCCAGTTTTTCCAGTACCATTTGCTAGAGGGTTTTCCCACTGGATTGACTGGTATCCTTTGTCAAAAATCGGTTGGTTTAAGCTTTGGGGTTTATAATCTGGGGTCTCTATTCTATTCCATTGGTCCACCTGTCTGTTTTTGTGCCAATACCATGTGGTTTTGATTATCACAGCTTTATAATATATTTTGGGGTCAAGGAGTGAGATGCCACCCACTCCACTCTTCTTGTGCAGGATTGATTTGGAAATATGAGGTATTTTATGGTTCCAGACAAATTCTATGATTGTCCTTTCTAGATCTGTGAAGCATGCTGGTATTTTGACTGGAATTGCTTTAAATATATAGATTAATTTGTGTTGAATTGCCATTTTGATTATATTAATTCTTCCAATCCATGAACATGGGATGTCCTACTTTTTTGTGTCCTTTTCAGTATCTTTTTTGAGATTTTAATAATTTTCTTTGTAGAGGGCTTGGACTTCCTTAATTAGGTTTATCCCTAGGTATCTTATACATTGTGCAGCTATGGTAAAAGGGATTCCTTCTTTCAGATCTACGTCATTCACCTTGTTGTTTGTATATAGAAATGTTATAAATTTTTGGATGTTTATTTTGTATCCTGCCAATTTACTGTATTTGTTTACTACTTCAAGAAGTTTTTTCACGGAAACCTTTGGGTCTTCTAAGTATACCATCATGTCATCTCCAAATAAAAATATTTTCAACTCTTCTTTGCCAGTTTGAATGCCTTTTATATTATTCTCTTTTCTGATTGTACTGGCTAAGACTTCCAGCACAATATTAAAAAGCAGTGGAGAAAGTAGGCAGCCTTGTCTAGTGCCAGTTTTTAGTGGAAAAGCTTTTAGCTTTTTCCCATTTAGTATAATATTAGCTATAGGTTTTCCATATATAGCTTTTATTGTGTTGAGAAATGACCCTTCTATACCAATCTTGCTGAGAGTCTTATTCATGAAGGGATATTGTATTTTATCAAATTCATTCTCTGCATCGATTGAAATGATCATATGGTTTTTATCTTTCTTTCTGTTAATATGGTATATTATATTTATGGTCTTGCATATGTTGAACCACCCTTGCATTCCTGGAATAAAGCCTACTTGTTTGTGATGAAAAATCTTTTTTTATATATTGTTAGATAGAATTTGCAAGTTTCTTATTGAAAATTTTTGTATCTATATTCATCAGAGTTATTGGTCTGTAGTTTTTCTTTTCTTTTTTTCTTTTTTTTTTTTTTTTGAGAGGTTTTCGCTGTAGGGCGCATGCGCTAGCCAGAAAGACAGAGACACAGAGAAAGCGAGAAATCACCCCCCTGGGGGTGGGGGGTGACCACACTGCAATCCCTTCTCCTCCATTCTCCTCCTGGGATCATGGGCACACACGCACACGCACCTGGCGTAAGTTTAAGCTGTCAGGTCCAGGACTTGAACCGTAGTCGACTACGTGGGAGTCCAGCGACATAGCCATTACGCTAACTGCTGGTCCCTGTAGTTTTTCTTATATCTTTATTTTAGGAATGAAGATAATGGAAGCTTCATAAAATGAATTTGGAAGGTTTCCTTCCTTTTGGATCTTTAGAAATAAGTTGAATAGAATAGGAGTTGACTCTTCCTTAAAAGTTTTGTAGAATTCAGAAGTGAAGCTATCAGGACCTGGGCTTTTCTCTGTTGGAGGTTATTTATTACTGATTCAGTCTCATGGCTTGTTATGGGTCTATTCAGGTTTTCTATGTCCTCATGTTTCAATCTTGGTAGATTATATGCATCCAGGAATTTGTCCACCTCCTCCGTGTTCTTTTGTTTGTTGATGTATTGCCTATTTCATCATGTATTTGATTTATCGATGGCTTTTAAACTTGGGTGTGCTTTAGAAACCCATGGAAATGTTTAAAGTAATGACTGCTACCAGTCATGCAATGTGAATGAGTCTTGGTTGGGAACTAAGCATCACGGACTTTACATCTCCCTGTTATTGTTGTATGCATCCATAGCTGAGGGCCCATTGATTAGTTTTCAGTGTGACGTGGATCACTGTGAAACCTTATGAAGCTGTATATTCCTGGCTATAGATCTGGGGTGGGACCTGAGAGTCTGTATTTCCAGCATGCTCCAGTGTGGCTGGAGGATTAGGAAAATCCTGTTTTTGGAAATCCTATGTAGTGTAATTGTCTGCATGTGCTGGCCTGGGCTGTGACAGAGGTCATGACATACTCCTTGGTATACCACCTTTACTGTTGGACCAAGGCTCACTTCTCAAAGTTGGAGGGTGGGTGCCAGAGCCAGCAAGGAAACCAAGCCAGGACCTTGCCTCTATGCTCAGAAGCATTGTTCCATGGGACATAGCCTACTACTGATTTTCAAGGATACTTAGAAAACTGTGACTTATAAATGATGTAATGATTTTTGAAACATATGTATTTTTCTCTTACCATTTATCATTTCCTATATTTTCATAATATAGTTGAATTGCTTTTATGTGTACTGTTTTCAGTTAGTCATAGCATGCAATTTTTCTTTAAAGCTTTTAAGGGAAGTAGTTCATTATCTAGAAATAAAAATAGCCACAAGCTAAGTTCTAAAGGGTAGTGTATTTGACTTTGGGCCATACAAAACCCAACTGAGTTTGATGTATTTAGCTTTCTTACTGTACCCATTTCCTTGTTTACAGGTTGTTGCTGAGCATCCAGATGCCTCAGGTGAAGAGATTGAAGAGTTGCTTGGATCCCAATGGAACATGCTCAATGAAAAACAGAAAGCACGCTATAACACAAAGTTTGCCCTAGTGACTTCTGCCCAGACTGAAGAAGACTCTGGTAAATGTAAAACTGTGCTAGTGTCTTTTGCTTAGGTGTGATACATGTAGTGTAGCAACCTGAGCTTCAGCCTTGGAACTATGGAGATATGTGTCTACCCTTTCAAGCTCTGACTCATATTTGGGCCAACACCCAGAGTGCATGTAGTCACAATAAAGGCAATCTCTGCTGTCTGCATGTCCTCACCTGTCATAAGCTGTTCCATGTAATCCTCTGTCTGGACTTCAGGTTCTTTACTCTTCTGCCCAAGTGGAGCAGGCACTCTGACCACTGCAGCCAATAGGGTTGTGTGAGAGAGGACTGAAGAAGGAATGGAGCCAGACAGTTTCTAGAACCCCAGGCTTATGTGACATGGTAGAGTCAGGCAGCAGGCCTGTGGCCTTTCAGGGAGGCTGCCTTCTCAGTTTTCAGCATGCACTCTGCACCTTTCAAGGGGCCTGCCTCCACAGGTGGGCTCTGGATCCAGAGTGGGAGCAGCTCCTGACTTGTTTGCTTGAGAGCTCACTCACTGAGTGAAAAGGGCGGCTGGACTGACCTTGAACTTGGGTATCCTTTGATCTTCCTAGGCCTTCCATTTAAAAAGCAAAAAAAATGCTATTTTGGTTTGGGCAATAGCAAGATAAGTGAAACTTAACACTGTAAGATTTGGAGAAAATGTATAACAATGGTCAGATTTGTGATCTCTGTGTGCTTGGGACATGCAACATGTAGAAAATTGACATTTTAATGTAAAAAATAAGTGTGACCTACTTGGGTATAAATTTTAAATGAAAACAAACAAAACAAAACAAAACCCAAATCTGTATCTTTCAAGGTTCATCACTGAGGAATTTTGGAGAGGACACACATAGTGTTTCAAGACTCACTTTAAGGAAGGCTGAGGGCCCAGAAATAACTGCAGGCAGACTTGTGCTCCCAGGACAGTGCACGCATGTGTGTGTTGTGGAAGGGAAGAGAATGGGCTGTGATCACACATGCACTGTTACCACCTTTCTGTTTCCCTCTCAGATAATTTCATCTTTTTTTTTTTTTTTTTTCTTTTTTGTCAGAGGGCACTTAAACTGTGCCAGAGAGAGAAGAGGGAGAAAGCACACTCTACCCCCTACCAATGGCATGGTCATGCCACAATCTGTTCTCCTTCATTTTTTCATCTGCCAGGATTTGGGACATGCACGTGCATGTGCTCGGCATGTTTTTCAAGCACCGGAATCAGGATTTGAACCCAGTTATCAACCATGTGGAATCCAGCTCTCTTAACTGCTGGACCATGGAGCCAACCTCATATTTTTCATCTTGATTTAGGGCTTACTAGATTTCAACAAGGTATCTAATTGTATTAATCCTGAATTTTGTCAATTTGCTTGGTATTTGCTGCAAGTAGCAAGAATATTTGGGATTTGTGAATTTTCTTGAAAAGGCAAAAGTTCATCACACTCTTAAATCAGTACACTAAATTTGGAGAATTGGAGGAATTTTTTTTCTCTTATTTAGAAATGAGCCAGGTTTTTTTTTTTTTTTTTTTGAGAAATTTTCACTGTAGGGTGCGTGCGCTCGCCAGACATAGAGACAGAAAGCGAGAAATCACCCCCCAGTGGGGATGGTCACGCCGCAATCCCTTCTCCTCCATTCTCCTCTCGGGATCTTGGGCACGCACGCACACGCGCCCGGCGTGAGTTTTAAGCCACCGGGTCCGGGACACGACCCGCGGGTGACTACGTGGGAGTCCAGCGACATAGCCATTACGCTAACTGCTGGTTCCCTGGAATTTTTTCATCTTGTAAAAATTAAACTGAGGCTTCGAGCCACTCCTCTCTACTGCTGGTTCCCAAATGAGCCAGGTTTTTGTGAAGCTAGATTCAGCTTACCCTTGAAGAGTGTGAACTTGATTGTGAGTGTAGCATTTTGCTATTTGGGGCTGTCTCTGAGTATTTGTTCGATAGGAGGAGTGATGGGTGGATTTCTGCCTACAGTGTATGTTGAGTGTGTGCTGATTCCTGATTCCCTTTAACCTGACTCTCAAGTGACCCTGGTACTAATAACAAGAATGCTGTGCTATGTGTGTGTGTCAACTACATCATCATCTCAGTGCTAGAAACTCAAACAATGTCTGTATTCCTTATTTCTGTAAGAAATAACTTCCACTTCAGTCTGGGTCAATGAGAGGTTTTTATAGGGAAGGACTGTGAACTCCTTTAACCCTTGAGGACATAAGGTGCAAGATTGATGTTGCTGGTAAATGTCTGCAGTTTAATGAACGACACTGGCATCACACAACTGACTGAGTGCATGCTGGTGGGTCAGGTCAGCCATACCATGTGATGCCGATGCTTGGGCAGTAACTGACCAGTTTTCACTGCCTTGCTCACCACACTGTGGGCTTGCCTCTTCATGACACTGCCTTTGTGGCCAGCCCACAGTAGTATGGCTGTGAGTAAAGCCTAGTGAGGGCCACTTGCTGGGCTTCCTGTTCCCATCAGTCAGGAACTCATAGTTGGTGATGGCCCTGTGCTCTGGCTCTTCTCTCTCAGTAACCTTAGGACTAGATCTGAGTGAAGCCCAGTGTATATCTAGGCACCCAGGGCATGGATGTTGGGCCTTCCCCTGAAGCCTGGTGGATACATAGAGCTGAGCACTTCCGTGCTGGTTTGTTCTGTCTTAATGGGTTGTGAGGTTTGAGGATGACTATATATATATTTTTTTTACAAGATGTTTGATGAACAGTCCGTTAATTAAAACACAAAAAGCCCGAATCTCTGTAAAGACGTCATACAAATGAAAATACTGAATTTGTACTTAAAATAAACCTTGGCATATTCAAATTAATCATCTCTCTAGAATTCACACCTTTTTTTTTTTTTTTTTTTTTTTTTTTTAGATTTTTGCTATAGGATGCATGTGTTCTCCAGAGAGACAGAGACAGACAGAAAGCCATACTCCCCCACCCCAGGGGATTTGCCCACCCTGTAATTCCTTCTCCTCTACTCTCCTCCTGGGATTTTGGACACACATGCATATGCATATATGTACCTGGTGTGAGTTTTAAGCCACCGAGTCTGGGACATGAACTGAGGTCAACAACGTGGGAGTCCAGCAATGTAACCATTATGCCATCTGCTGGTCACAGTCTTGCCATATGTCCTTTCTTTCTGTCAGTACTATTTGGATACCTTAAGTCTTGGGTTAATATTCCTGGGAATCCTTAATTAATACATGACATAGTTAAGCAAACATGTAAAAAGTCCTTTTGCAGATACAAATGTGTTGGTATTTAAAATAGTTTTTAAAGGAAATTTATAAAAAGTAGCAATTCTTGTATAGGTTTTTAAAGTTTAAATTCTCCTGGTCTTTTTCTGGGGGGGGAGGAAGAGGTTTTTGCTGTAGGGTATATGTACTCGCCAGAAAGACAGAGACAGACAGAAAGCGAGAAATCACTCCCTCAGCGGGGATGACTACATCACAATCCTTTCACCTCCATACTCTTCTCGGGATCTTGGGCACACACGCACACGCGCCCAGCGTGAGTTTAAGCCACCAGGTCCAGGACTTGAACTGCATTCGACTACATGGGAGTCCAGTGACATATCCATTCTTTCTGCTGGTCCCAAATTTCCCTAGTCTTTAAAAGTAAGTAAAAATTTTAAATGATTGAGTCATTTTTAAACTTAATGCTATCATATGTTAATATATAATTATATAAAATACCAATGTAATAATCTCTAGATAAAGTATTCCCAGTCTCTAATATTTTCTTTAAAGAGATTTGCTCTATAACACATAGGCTCTGGAAATCTACAGAATTTCAGGAAACCCTTCATGAGCTAGATTTATACATTGAATACCTTGGTAGATTTGCAGTGCTCTGGAGGACAACTTGTGGAGTGTTTTTCATGTAAGTTTCCCCCATCCCCATTCCAAGGTAACTTAAATGGGAAAAAAAGAAACCACACAAAGAGGACACAGGATCCTACAGAAGATGCTGAAGCTGAGGATGCACCCAGGAAAAGACTCAGGACCGACAAGCATAGTCTTCGGAAGGTAATTGTGTTCTGGGTTTGCCTGGCCTGTAAGAACATGTGCTGTGTCACTTTGGGTGCTAGAGTGTCCCTAAGTGGGCACACAGACAGGATGTAGGTGGTGATCTTCTCCACTTTCTGTAAGGTGATACTTAGCAATAGGGCTTGCTTTCGTATGGAAACCCATTGAGAAAGGCCTCTAAGAAAGCAAATTCTTATCCATCAATTGTTAACATAGAAACTGCTGAAATTTGCTCTCTAAGAAAATGAACATCTACACCTTGATTAATACTTTATTTTCAGACTTGATAAAAATGAATCTCGTTTGTAGGGCTTATTATTCAATGTATAAGTAATGAATTGATGTGGAAACAAGAAAACCCATTAAAGATATGCTTTATATTTCAATAAAAAATTAAAGAATCTATCAAAGGCACTAAAATAAATTTTGTGAATTCATTCAGCTCATTAGTAATTCATGTTGTTATTTACTTAATGAGAATATTAAGCAGGCTGTATAGGAATGCTTGATACAGTAGAGAAAAGGACAGCACAGATAGAAAGACCTAGCTCTATATAAAGGCAGCCCTAGGACATTGTACTTCTAGCACATTCCCTACATGGATCAAGAATAGAGTTTACCTGGTACCTGGAGGAAGTGAAACTGACCAAGGTTTTGTTGTTTCTGTTTTGTTTTGTTTTTTCCCATAGAATGTGTGTGCTCGCCAGAGAGAAAAGAGACAGACAGTGAGAGGGAAACTGAGAAATCACCCCCCAGAGGAGAAGTATTCTTTCTTCTTTGTTCTCCTCCCAGGATTTTGGGCATGCAAGCACATAAGCCTGGCATGAGTTTTAAGTTGCCAGGTCTGGGACTTGAACTGCAGTTAGCTGGCTTTGTGGAAAACTAGTGCCTTAACCACTACCCCATCTGTTGGCTCCCCTGACCAAGGTTTTTATTTATTTATTTTTTTTAGAGGTTTTTGCCTTAGGGCATGTGCACTCGTCAGAGAGAGAGAGAGAGAGAGAGAGAGAGAAACAAAGAGAGACAGACAGAGACAGAAACTGAGAGAAAGTGAGAATCACTCCCTAGGGTGTATGGCCATGCCACAATCTCTTCTCTCCATTATTCTAGGATTTGGGGCATCCGTGCACAGGTGCCTGATGTGATTTTCAAACCACTGGTTCTAGAACTTGAACCGCAGTCAGTCATGTTGGAGTCCAGTGACTTAGCTATGCCATTTGCTGGTCCTTGACCAGGTTTTTAAATCCAAAGAAACAGTGGGTTGTTCTGTTTAGCATGTGGTGATCATACATGCTGAAAATGTGAGCCCTTTTCTAGAGTATAGTGTGGTGTCATTTATTTCACCCATCTCAGATGTCCAGTTAATTTTCTTATGAGAGGAGAGTTTCAATTGAGTTTTACCTTACACTTGAATTTATATTTATTCAATAGTAGTCTGACAGAGTAACCATATATTTATGATTTTTTAAAAAAAATTTGCCAGAAGGTATGTGCACTCCCTAGAGAGGGGAAAGAGGGAGAGGGAGAAAGCATCCCCAAAAAGAGCATAGTCTCACCACAATCTCTTCTCTATTTCTTTGTCTTGTTGGGATTTGGGGCATGCACACACATGTCCCCAGCATGTTTTCTTTCTTCTTCTTTTTTTTTTTTTTTAAGAGAGATTTTTGCTATAGGGTTTTAGCACTCACCAGATAGAGAAACAGAAAGCGAGAAATCGCTTGCCAGGGAGGCAGGCCATGCTGCAGTCCCTTCTCCTCTATTCTCTTGGGATTTGGGGCATGCATCTGGTATGAGTTTTAAGCTTGGGGTCTAGGACTCAAACTGGTCAGCCATGTGGGAGTCTATCAATGTAACCATTATGCCAACTGCTGGTCCTTCCAGCATGTTTTTCAAACCATCAGGACTGGGACTTTAATGCAGGATCTAGTTCCCTTAACCATTAGACCATGGGACTGGCTCTTTCAATGATTTTGAATAAAGGTTGATGTTGTCTTTTACTGATCTATATTAAGTTGTACTTTTTGTTTTATCTTGAAGAATGGAAGATAATTCTCATATATTGCTAAAGTGTAAATATGTGGATACCACATCATTCGTTTATTATCTTAAAGTCATATTGACAGTTCAGGGGCGTAGGTAGGCCTTTAGCCCTCATTTTCCTAGCTAACACAGTATTCTTCTAGGGTCCTTGCTGTCAGTTGTTTAGTAATCGAGTGTCCAGTAATAAGCTAGGTAGAATTCACCTTGAATTGTTAAAGTTTAGTTACCAGGAAGAATATACTTAATAGTTCCTCTGTTGCCCACTATGAAAGTAGTACTTTACTGGCAGTTGTACTGAAATTGGTTGCTTTGAAATACGTGTATAATGATATACCTAAAAACTGTGTAACCCTGGGCATTTGAAACATCAAAATTCACATTAAGCAGCTAGGTAGGTCTCATTAACTATTATTGATAGCTCCGAAAATAGCTCATGGGATAAAAAGTAGTATCTTCACTGGACTGGGTTTTATAAAACCCTAAGGTATATTGCATATAATTCCTAATATACATAAAGCGCTTTTGAAGTGTCAGGCACTGTTACTAGCTTCATGCACCTATTACCTTGTCCATGGTGCCTGTGACCACTCTTGCTAACATCCTTTTTCAGTCTGCCCTGGTCCCAAGCAGGGCAGCAAAGTGGGATTATGAGTGCAAGGATCATGCTTCCTGGAGTGGCAGGCTAACCACTAGACATAACTGTCCCTGTGCTGTTGAGATAGGGCATTATCATCTACATTATTCAAAATCTCAACACTTGAAACAACGTGCATGATCCTCTCCCTCTTTTTATTATTACATTTCACTATTTTTCTCAGTTGTGAAATATATTTTATCGATCTTTGTGAAGTATATTTGAGTTTTTCTCAAAATGGAAATCTGCAGCATAGTGAGTTTGACTGATAAGGTTTGCACTGGTTTAGCAGGGCTGACTTTAACTTTATTGCGTCACCACTCAAGTAGGAAAGGTTTCCTCTAATTTATACTCTGCTTTAGATTGATCAAAAAGTTCAGGTAGCATATTGAATACAGTCATGCGAATTATCTTAACGTGAATACAGCAGGTCTTGGCACAGCCACACCCACCCTGCTCTCTTAACAGATGTTAGAGCTGGAGGTACATAGAAACAGTCCAGCTTGTGGGGGTGGGGAAGTCTGGAACTGGGCAATCATGGATGACTTATGCGTGGAGCCCATTTCCAAAGAATGAAGTTTCTTTTGTGTAACTTCAGCAACCTGTGTTCATTCACAATAGGAGATTATTTTTCCTTTCTTTTCTTTTACTTTGTTTTCCTTTTTCTTCCTTCTTATTTTCCATCTTTCCTTTCTTCCTCTCTTTCTTCTTCTTCTTTTTTTTTTTCTTTAATAGCAGAGAGACACGATCACTGACAAAACGTCCAGAACAAGCTCTTACAAGACCATAGAGGCAGCTTCCTCACTCAAGAGCCAGGCAGGTAATGTGGTCAGCACTTCTTCCTCTTGGCTTCTTCTGGGTGCACAGGCTGGGTGGGGTGAACAGGGCAGCCTACTCCTGCCCACAGGGAGCCTCCTTGGGGGGATGAGACTGAAAGTTCGAAGGGGAAAGTTGGAGTTGAAGGAGAACAGAGCTGGTAAAGAAAGGAACCTCTCATGTAATAGGAAAAAAAAAAAAAAAAAAAAGCAAAAAACATCTTAATGTATAAGTTGTTTTAAAGATGCAGCTTAATTTCATTGAAGTTAACTTTTCTTCTAATTTTTACTTGGTCTTACTGGTTTTGGTTTAAAATTTTATTAGAGAAGTAATTTAAACCAGAAATTTTCAGGTTTCTTACTTAATGGTTGCCAGTTGTTGATATAAATTCTACCACTTTTCAGTATCCTGAACCTCTTTGTATGCTAGCTGAAAATAAAAGTAATAGCTACTTATTTCTATTTCACGTTAAAGAAACTAGCTTAGAACATTTACGTAAAGGAACTATCAAAGTAATAGGGATAATGAGTCTTCCTTTTACCTTTTCATTATCTTTTTGAGATATCTAATTGATAATTTATTAAAGAAGGCCTATCATCTCTAACTGTTCATTAAAAAGAAAACAAAATTTGTGGGGGATAGACAATAAAGATGGGGAATGGTTCTATTCGTGTTTTGCATGAGGTGTGCTGTACTGGTTTTAAAAAACTAATCATACCAACAACTAAAAAAAAAAAAAGACATATGTGAGCAACCAGAAGTTTGAATGCTGACTGTATATTTGATGATATAAAGGAATGGTTACTTTCTATACATTTAAAGTGTATGTGTTTATAGTAAAAACTTTATGTTTTAGAGATGTGTACTGAACTTGTGTGTGTGTGTGTGTATGTGTACACTGAACTCTTTATGAGTAAAACAGTATGCCTAGGGTTTACTTCAGAATAATCTAGTAGGCAGACATGGAATCAATTGTGGATGGAGCTGTGTTAGTCCCTGATTGATGGTTGTAGGGGCCAGGCCACTGGGACATGGGCTTCATTGTACAGTTTATCTGCTTTTGTTTACATGTAGATTTTTCCATGATAAAAAGATAAGCCCTTACTATAACAAAGGGACTGAGAAAGTTCATCTTTAGAACTTCACTTATTTGAGAGTAATTATAAAGCAATAAAGCAATTGAGTACTTAAGATTTCAAACTTTGCTTTATAAACCAAAATTATTTTACAGCGACGAAAAATCTGTCTGATGCATGCAAACCACTGAAGAAGCGAAATCGGGCTTCCGCAGCAGCGTCTTCAGCTCTTGGGTTTAGCAAAAATTCATCTCCTTCTGCATCCTTAACTGAGAATGAGGTAAAATAATACTAATAATGATTACCATAACGTTTATAGGAAGGCTCTTTAATTTCCCAAGTTGCAGTGTGAGTAAAGATTAGACTTCAATAATCATAACATTGGTGCTCTGTAAATGTAGGTGAGTTTTAGCTTCTCTTAACTATCTGAAATTCATGAAATGGAAATAACAGTGCATTAATTTAGTCTATTTGTGCACTTCAAATAGAAATACACACACATGCAGTGTATGTGTAAACGTACATGTATACTTCAGTCTTGATGCAACTTAATTGTTCTTGAAATCTGTCTTTAAAATATTATGTTCTCTATATAGCCCTCACACTGTGATCTTTCACATGAAAGTAAGCCTGCATTGTTCTGACATGATGCATGGTGTCAGTCAAGCTGGTCCGGTCATGATGCGCTCATACTGGGTGCAATGAAGGGTGGCTTATGCCACATTGTGGCTCCTGTGGCTTCCAGACCTAGACTCAGGGAGGAAGCCAAAGGTTTCTTTGTCCTCATGTGTCTATGGCTTTGGGTCCATGTCTTTGGTCCTTTAGATTCTGGCATATTTGTAGATACTTGAATGTTGAGGTGAGTCAGAACTATCATACGATATGACTCCTGTTTTCTAGACTTGCAAAATAGATGATGGCTAAACAATAGCTGTTTGAGGCTGTTATTTTGCCATCATTAGACTTGACACTTTAGACTTGGTTATCAAACCTAAAGTCCTCGCCATTACAACAAAACAAAAAAAGTCTGTCAAATGCAGGTCTGCCACTTTTTATCCAAAGGTAGTCTTCGTTTTCCAATTTAGTAACTCCTGTCATGGAGTTTACTTTAAAGTCTTGATTTCTTGTTATTCTGTTCTTGTTGATTCCGTTTTTCTCTTTGTAGACATGAGTCCTGTTTTATAATATTTATGAGAAGACAGTAACCTTGGGCTTTTTTTAAACAGGATAGATAGATACTGGACTAGCCCCTTACTCCTGTTGGGTCTGGAGGCAGCACCTCTGCTCTGGACTCTGCCATGATCTCTAACAGGGATGGGTGTGTTCAGTTGTTTCCTCCCATTGTAGGAGGGGGAGACCTTCTAGGACATGAAGGTCAGGGACCTGAGCAATCCAAGGCGGGGCCCAGAGAGCCCTGCAGCTTGCTGTGCTGAGTGCTTGCTCAATGATGGTGTAAATGACTCATACCAACTCAGTAGTGGTTAGGAGCTGCTCATGTTTGTGGGCCTAGGGCTTACTTCTAGTTTGGTACGTGCAGATAACTAAGCATTTTTTACGTTTGGACACACTCAAGAAAATATAGTAAGAATTCATCACTGAACTTCTAGGAGCTTTCTGAACCATGAAAAGGCAAATTTGATACAAATTATTTTTCCTTTTTTCTTTTTTGTCAAAGTTCAGGTTAGTATCTCAGAAAATTATATGAAAGAGGTGGTCTGTAATTCCAAAGAAGAATAATATTGTTGTTTTAGTTCTGTAGACCCTTTCATTTAGGTTGGCATTTTTTGTTTAAAAACATTTTTAATGAGTTTTTCTTGCATCATATTTTGGTCCACTTACCTGGTTTAGTTTTTATTTATTTGGTTGTCAGATAAAATAGAAAGAAAAACATTAGGGTTGTTGAAATCTTGCCTGTTTCTGACCATAAGGCATATGTGTATTGAAGGCTATGGTTTAGAGTAGCACATAAAAATACAAACTGGTTAGACTTGCCTGATAGCATGGTGAATTTAATCTTCCTGGCTTGGACATTTGGGCTGAACTTGGAAAGACTTAGATGAAGCATTATAAAATCATGACTCCTAATTAATTATTAGGTATATTTATGTTATATATTACATTTATTAAAATCATGTATTCTCCTACATTTTGAAGGTGATACATAGGTCCTATAGTATATATTATGTTCCTTAAATTATTAGGCCTTTTCCATTAGACCACTTTCGTGTGACTTATATAAACCTTCTTCTATTAAAGTTTGCTTTTACAGAATTCTACTGTTAATTAAAACAACTTTAGGTGAAAAAGTAGACTTGTTCATTACATATTAATACTACAGAACTATAGTAAATATTTACAATGCCTATACAATGCTGAATGCCTCAGCATATGAAGCAATGTGTCGTGTTACTTAAAAAAAAAAAAAAAAAAAAAAAACCTAAAACCTTGTAAAACACTGGGTCCAGGTCTGATATGAGTTAGGTGACCATGGGAATTTCTGTCTAGGGGTTCAGACTGGCCCTTTATTTGAGTCATATACTTTTTGCATGTTTTTATTTCCTTCCTTTCATCACACTTGATTGGAATAAAGGATTTTCATAGGATTGGTATTCCAAGACATTTTAGGTCCTATTGTGGCTATATAATAAATTTATATCAGAATAGTTATTACATGGTCTTACATCATCCCAGCGAAGAGAATAGATGAAAATTACACACTTGCATGACAAAGGCCTGTGAAGGAATTAATGTGATTTAAGTGTTTTGTAACTTCATTTCTTATTCCCTTAGTAGAGCAAATTCTTATTTTTTTCGCCTTCACTGGTAACAGCTTTTATGGGAGCCCACATCAGTCAAGTTGGATTTGAACTCAGCTGCCCTGTACTGCACTTAAAATGATGTAATATTCCAAGATGTCTGCTGCAGGTGGTGTATCATCGTACCCACTAAGTGACATTTCTATCACAATCATTTTATGGAAGATGTGTGATAATCTGTTTTTACTGGTATTAATAAACACATACAATGAAGAAACAGATAACAAATTTTAAGACCAAGGTAAGATACCTAATCAAGGCCATTTAATCAATCACATTCATCTCATAATAGAAACACTTTCATATTCCAATGATCAATGTAGCTTTCAAGCTGAAAAGGAGGCCCTTCAATCAGGGCTGTCCTAGAGCTGCGACAGCAACACCGCACGGAAGGGGTCATCCTGTCAGAGGTCATTCTCCTCTAGCTCGTAACTCAATGAGTTTTTACTGAAAAATGTCAACATCTGTACCTTCAAAACAAAGAACAGACAGCACACATTAAAGGATTCCTCATCAACTATTCTCATTGCCAGTGAATTGTGTTCAATACTGTAGATATTTAACTGATTTCCAACATAAAAGGCAGGAAGAATTTTGATTCTGTCCTTTTTTACTAAACAGTTTTACTATGACACTAGATATAGTAAATTTTTAGGAAAAATACCATTTACAGTATCATTGTGAGCCATTTAACTCTTTTCGATTAAATGACTGATATATAGGGGATATCATAATCAGGTTATTTACACCAAACACTTCATCAGTTGCTTTTGTAGAACATCAGCCATCATGTTTAAATGTCTTAATCTTGGGTGACCAGCCTGGTGTCCTGCCCCAGGGTGTCCGCATGTTTGCATGGTGAGGAAAAAGCTTCACTTGCCCTCAGCTCATAGAAGCAGAACATGTACTATTCACAATACTATGTGAATAGCAGTCAGTTCATCCCAGCAGATTCTTCAGATGTGTTTTACCTTTAATGAAAGTTTCTGAATAATACTTTTGTTTTAAATCATTAAGTAATGTAACGCATGTAAAACACTTAGGGTACCTGGCGCCTTGCAAGGACTCAGTGGTTCACTGTTGTGACAGTAATGGTTATAACAATAAAAATAATAAAATTGCCATCATTCCATTTTTATCCAAAAGTATAAATTTTGCTTTGGCATGAAAAGTGATCCTCTTGACAGCGTTATGCATGTGGGGATAAAATAAACCCGGAAGTAGCAGATCACTGGATTTGTTTGTGTGACACTTTAGGGTACTGGACCATGTGGCTAAAAACTGCTTGGGTTACTCTGTTGGCTCTGCTTAAATGTAGTAGAGTATGTGGCCTCAAAGATGGCCAAGGAACAATCTGAGTTTTACTATTCCTAAAGCCGTGGAAAAGCTCAAGAGTAAATATTAAAATTTGAAGAAACAATTGCTAAATTTAAAAATGTGAAAAAAAAAAAGGTATGAAAATCACTCTGGTTCAATAAGTGATCACCCAAAGTAAAGACACTAGCCTGAAGGACTTTGGCAAGAATTAAGGGATTTATTTCATTTGAAATTACAGCATGATGAATTTTGAGTGCATAGTCAGCTAACTAGCAATATATAACAGATGCATTAGAAATCAACCAAAGAATAGTGCTTTCCTCTTTGTAATGGAGAAGTTCAGAACTTTGAAAAGGACTGAATGGTGCCCATAGAATAGCATAAATTAGTATCTGCTGAGTATATGGGGGCAAAGGGGCAACAAGGATGAGAATCATGCAGTATTTTGGGGACCCTGAGAAAAAGTGACCAGGTAGGCAGCATTTTGCAGTGAGAAGGACAGTCCCACATATGGCAGATTGTCTAACTGAAAGGCCCATAGGGGTCTGGCTGCAGCGAAGCAGAGTTCCTGAGAGGGTCAATTCTTGGCTTCCCAAAGAGGGCGAGTAGGAAGAGATTCTTGTTTGAAAGAGGTTAGGAAAGAGCAGTAGTTTACCTGTCAAGAGTACAGAAATCCTTATATTACACATTTGACATGGAATTTCTTATTTTCTAAAAGTGTCAGAATAATAATGACACACTCTAGACTTAAGACAGTTGAACTGGCCTTTACTGAAATGAGTTATACTTATACATGGAATCATTTTAATGGTCCCATTTGACTTCAAAATATCTTTCATATGCCATATTTGTGCCTGGAAAAGGAGGCAGCTCTTTAATATAAAATTCGAGGCATTCATAAGAGCCAATAAATAAAAGTTTAAATTGTAGCTGTTTAAAAAGTGAAAGCTCCCTCTCCCCCTGCACTATCAAGCTAAGGTAGCACCCCAAATGAGTCCACATTCTAGCATTAGAGTATGTGATTGTTTTTCTTTTCTTTTTTTTTTTTTTTTTTTTTTTTCTGCCTTATTTTTCTAAGATCTGAGAGCCACTGATCTGTCAAGCTTTTAAATAGCTGGTTCTAAAACTGCCCCCACTTGATATAGAT